ACGACGACATCAAGGCCCTCAAGGGCAACCTTGAGGAGGCGCGTCAAGCGGCTTTGGCCGGCGCCTCGGAGCACGAAGCGGTCGTCAAGGCGCTCCATGTCGACCACGAGAAGGCGCTAACCGCCAAGGGTGCCGAGTTTCGAGACAAGTACGAAGACGCAGTACGCGGCCGCCGTGTGGTATGCCCAGCTTGCAGCGACGTCGACGAATCGAATCAGTGGACCGTCTTTGATGGGCCGCTTCTCGAAGACACCGACTTTGACAGCGACATGGAGGTGGTTATGGGTGAACCACCGGCACCGCCAGACCTGGTCGCCGCCGCAGAGCTCGAAGCAGAACGCAAGGCTTACGAGGCGCTCAAAGCGCAAGCCGACGATGCAGCTGCCCGCGCCGCGTCGAACGAGCTGCGCCTCGAGAACAAGATCTTGAAGCTCATGACGACCATCAACGATCTCTCGGCCGGTGTCAACGCGCTCTCGTCCGACAAGTCGGAGCTCGCAGTGGCGAAAGCGAAGCTCCAGGAGGAGACGACAAACCTCCTGGCGCGCGTAGCCGCTTTGGAAACGGCGCTGCAGTCGCACAAGACCGACGCCAAGACCGACATGCAGGCGCTCGAGACGCGGGCGGTCACGGCCGAAGCCGCCCATGAAGCCAACGCGACGACGATCCGGGAGCTGCAAACCACAATCGAAGGACTCTCGACGAGCGCCCTCTTCAAGCGTACGCAAGAGCTCTCGAAACAAATCCGGGACCTCGAGACACAGCTGCACCGACTTGGGTTCTACTAGCGACGACCAACTCTTTTTGAATACTACATATTTTGCATGGAAACTATGTTTACACGATGACCTGCAAAACTACTAGCGATCGGTCGATGGTCGATGTCGGGCCATTTTTGAACGGGAACAAGACCACTCGACGCAACACCAGTAGTACGAGGCAAGGCTGGTAGCTGCCTAGTCGCTCGCGCGATCCACGCGCCTCTGCACTCGCGTGCACGTTCAAGTACGTCAATAACCCCAACAAACGACGTCGATTCGGACGCACCAAGTACTAAGCTTAGTCGATCGATGCGACAGGTTTAGTGCAACGCGCGGCAAGCCTCGCGACAGTGCTTCGACGACGGCGTTGTCACGCGACTTCATAGTTGAGCGCTTGCCAATCTTGGGTCGAGGATGACGCACGGAGGACGAGCGCCGTATATTCGAAAGTGCAAGGGCAATGTGGAAGCCGCAGCTGCCGGTCGATCGGACGGCGTTTTATGCAAAACCAGATGGACCGAGACTGGTTGCAGTCGCATCTGTGTGATGGCACCGCACGCAACGTCGTCGTGGCTTCGTCACGACTCCCCGGTCACTTGCTTTGTCACGAGCGTTGAACTGGCGTAGGCAGGTTTGAGATCTGAGTGCTGCTACACGAATGCACCGGTAGCTTCCGACGGCGTCGCCTACTGTGTACTGTAGGAAGCTCCTTCGCTGCATCTTTGTGTCTACCTTGCTGTGACTGCTTTGCCCATGGAACCCATGCACGAGACTATTCGATATGCATCTTGCAAAGGTTGTAATTGGTTAACATGTCAATCGTAGTATCGGGGTAATTAACGCGGCACAGGCTTTTTCGAGGCGTAGAGCGTTGGCAATGCGTTACACAGCGCCGGTCGAACACGCTTTTGCCAGCTTCTACTCTGCCGACAGCAGCTGTCTCGCGCCTGGAGCATGCCAATTTAGAGTGTACTTTACCTTTTGCTCCGGCTCATGGCAGCCTCCACGCCCATGCTCCTGCTGCTGCTAGGCTGGCTGGGTATCCTCGCCGTCGCCGCCATCGACCCGCCCACCGGCAACCACCGCAAGATCGACGTCGACCTCTGGAACGACCTGCATACCAAAGAGTCGGTCGACGCGATCGTCGAGTTTGAGGGCCTCCAACAGTTCTGGGGCGACAAGGCCGAGCACACCGACTTGGACAAGCCGTCGAGCAACGTCCGAGTCCGCGACCTTCTCCGGTCCGTCGCCGAGCGCGCGCAGGTGAACGCGCGCCACATCCTCGAGGGCAAGGCGCCGCACCGCCGGCGGCTCGAGAGCGCGCCCGAGGTCTGTCCCGGCATCGACGACGTCGAGCTCCAGGACCTCTGGGTCGCCAACCAGTTCAAGGTCTTCTCGCTCACGCTGTGCATTGCCGAGCAGCTGAGCAACCTCCCGCACGTGCGTCGGCTGCGGTACGGCTACACCATGACGATCGGCACGACATCGAGCGTCATGCAAACGGGCAGCGCCAACTCGTGGGGCATCACCGCGATCGGCGCGCCTTCTGCGTGGGCGCTCGGCCACACCGGCCAAGGCGTCCTGATCGGGTCCATCGATAGCGGCGTCCGGGCGACGCACGAAGCGCTCTCGGCCAACTTCCGGGGTCCTTACGGATGGTACGACGCAGTGACCGAGTCACCGACGCCCGTCGACGAGAACGGCCATGGGACGCACACGATGGGGACGATCGCCGGAAGCCACGGCGTCGGCGTCGCGCCCGGTGTCACATGGATGGCTTGCCGCGCGTGCTCGGCCTCCGAGTGCAAGGAAGCCGACCTCCTCACGTGCATGCAGTTCATGCTGTGCCCGACCGACGTCAAGGGTGAGAACGAAGACTGCTCGAAGGCGCCGCGCGTCGTCAACAACAGCTGGGGCGCCGGCGCGACCGACCTCGGCTCGTACCGCGCGGCCGTCGAGGCGTGGCGCCGAGCGGGCATCATCCCGATCTTTTCGAATGGCAACACGGGCGCGTCCGGGTGCGCCTCGGTGCAGAGTCCGGCCGACTATGACAATGTCATTAGCGTCGGCAACACCGACTCGACGGGCGCGCTGAGCCAAACGAGCAGCCGGGGACCGACCAAGGCGGGGGCGATGAAGCCGACGCTGTCCGCCCCCGGGTCTGCGATCACGTCGGCGTCCAACAAAGGCGATGGGTCATACGCGGTCATGTCGGGCACGAGCATGGCCGCGCCGCATGTCACCGGCGCGGTCGCTCTTCTCCTCAGCCAGCACCCGAGCTGGGGCTACGACGAGATCCTCAAGGCGCTCACAACCAGCGCGACAACATCGACGCTCAAGCCGTCGACGCCCGACACGTGCGGGGCCACGGTCTCAACCACGTTCCCCAACAACCATTTCGGCTACGGCCTCCTCTCGCTGACACCGTCGACACCGGCGACCACGAATGCGACGACGACGATGCCGTCAACGATCAACGCGACGACCAGTGTACCGTCACCGACCGCCGTCAACGGATCCACTGCGCCGTCGACGATTCTGCCACTGCCGTCGGCGTCCTCGAGCCATGCAGCCAGCAGCACGCCACCGCCCGTGACGACGACACCGGCACCGACCGTGCCACCGTCGGAGCTCAACACGGAGCTCAACACCGACGTACTGATCGTAACACCGGTGCGGTCCGTCGTCATCGTTGTCGGCACGAGCGTCCGTGCGACGTCCGTGTCGTCGTCGGCGCCCATCACGGGCGCGACGCTCACGTACAGCCCGATGACGCAGCAAGTGGTCGCGTTCAATGGCGAGTGCCTCACCGCGTCGCCGATGGCCGAGAGCAGCGGGACCTTCCTCCTGCACACGTGGCCGTGCCGCCTCAGCAATATCAACCAGCGCTGGGTCGTCAAGGACCAGCGCATCGCCCACGGCCGCCACACCAACCAGTGCTTGGCGGTGGTCGCGTCGTCGGCCGGCGTCGCGCCCTGCGACCCGAAAGCGCCGTCCCAAGTGCTCAGCGCGCTCCCGCTCGACCGCGCGATGGCGTACCTCTCGTCTCCGCGTCGCGTGTAGTTCAGATCCTAAGACTCTCAAGACATGTTGTATCTATCTTATTACGGAAAACAGCCTACGACTCGAGGGCCAACGCAGCAGTGAGGCGGTCGATGAGCTCGGCCTTGAGGCCCTTCGTGTCCAAGTTGCGCTCCTTGAGGTATGCACGCAGTTCGACGACCTTGAGCTTGGTCACTTGCCCGATATCGCGCTTCGAGGTCTTTGCCGAGACGGCGTCGACGACGACTACCGTTGCGCTCGTCACTGCCTTCTCCGTCGGCGCGTCGATGAGTGTGACCTCGTCGTCCTCGTGTGTCATCGCAACGTCATTGGACGCGTCGTCGTTCTGCTCTGCAGCTGCTTCGTCGTCTTTCTCCGAAGGTCCGTCGTCGTTGTGGTTCGTCGGAGCTTGGTCGTGCTGCTCAGGAGCAGCACTGTTGTCTGGTTCAGTGATGTCCAGCTCGGCATCTGCCTCGGTCATTGCAGTGTCGTCCTGCTCGGCAGCTGCACTGGAGCTTTGTTGGGGCGTTGCCACCGCTTCGCTCGTCTCGTCGGCGGGCTTGACGGCGTCTTGTGCATCTGCGTCTTCTGTCGGGGCGTCCGCCCGAGACGCGTCTGGGTTGCTTTCTTCTTCCTTGGCGGTTGTGGTCTCGACCGTGTTGGACGGTGCGAGGTCCGCCGATGACGCGCGTGTCTTCTTGGCGGGCGACCCGCCTTCGGTGCGCACGGCGTCGAGCTTGGCAGTGAGCACATCGACCTTGCGCTTCGTGTCGGCTTCGATCTCGCGCTTCTTGACCTCAAACTCTCGTCGACGGAGCTTGATCTTCTCTTCGATGGCTTCCATGGACGCGTCGACAAGGGCTTGCGTCTCCTTGGTGTGACGCGCAGGAAGGTAGTAGATTGGGATCGGCGCGACTGTCTGAAGGAACCGCGCGTGGTGGCGCTCGTACGTTGTGCTGAGCGTGACCTGTCGCTCGAGCTTGGCGATGTTGTCGCTGGCGCTGCGCTTGAGCGACGAGATCTGCGTCTCGATCCTTCGCTTCTCCGAGCGCTGGGATGCGAGGCCTTGCACCCGCTGGCTCTGCTCTTTGGTCTTGGCGTCCGCCGCCGAGAGCAACCGGTCTTGCTTCTGGAGCAAATCGCTATCCTTTGCGAGCTGCTTCTTGGCTTTGCCGAGGTGCCCCATAAGGTTGCCAAACAAGCGGCGCCGCCCGTTCAAGAGGTCGATGGGCATCGCTGTCCCGTCGCTCCCGCGCTACAACAGGTCGTTCGTCGGTGCAGTTCATTCTCGTGCGGCAAGCGTACCATCAAACGTCGGCGCTTCTCTTCGCCTTGGCCTTCAGGCTCGCGCGCCGTGCGCTTCCGCGGCGAAGCAGCATCGGCAACCGCACCACGCTCGCCGAGCCGGTCGCGGATGCTCTTGCCATTGCGCGGGGTCTCATTCTGGTCGTGGCTACCTCGCCGGCCCTCGGCTACACATACAGCCCATCGGTCTTCTCCTCTTGCCACGTCACGCGCTCGTACCATGGCGTCGCGTCGGCGTCTCGGGCATCGTCGTCGTGATGTGTGGTCGCTCCGATGTTTCGATATCTTGGCCATACCCAAGTGTAGTGACCCGTTAAAGTACGTTTCGATCACTCGCAAGTTCTCGTGAAGTGCGTCTCGTTCAAGTGCGTTTGCGGAACACTGCGTCAAGTACGGTTGCCAATTAAGTTCGGGCAGCCCAGCGGCAAGGATGGAGGACACGCCGACGCCGTCGAGCGCCGTCCACGCCGACGACTACAACGCGTGCTTCAAGGACACGGTGTGGCTGAGCACGTTCGAGCTCAACTTCCACACGGTGCTCTACTACTTTGCGCTCTCGCCCTTCTACGACAAGAACTGCAACAACGAGCGGCTCAAGATGCAGCGGTTGCCGCTCGACCAGCTCGTCAACATGCGTGGCATCGAGTACGAGCTGCTGCCCAACCTCTCCAAGCAGCTGCCGCAGACGCTCTACATCATTCGCAAGCAGTTTCGCACGAGCAAGACCAGCGTCCAGGTCATGGCCATCTACTACTGCCTCGACCAGACCATTTACCAAGCCCCGAATACGTTTACGATGATCACATCGCGCTTGGTACGACCATGACCTTATCAATGTGCGCAAACCGCATGGCATGGTGAGCGTAGAAGAAGTGCAGCTACCGCATCAACAAGGCGTTCCAAGCGCTCAGCGCCGGCGTCCGCTTCAGCCCCACCGAAGGCTACGCGTGGGACTTCAGCACGGACGAGAAGAAGGAGCCGCTCATTCCCTCGGAGCGTACGACCGCTTGACGCAGTGTCACTCGATACTGATGGCCACCGTGTAGAGTTGGCCCTCAAGCTCAAGCGCAAGCAAGAGAAGGAGGAAAAGACCAAGCAAAACAGCTCGCGTGTCGATGCGATTGTCCTCAACCTCGTCAAGAAGGTACATCATCGCTCGATGTGCATGGCCTCATCTATCCAATGTGCTAGCATGCACCAGAAGTCATGGCAGCGGGGGCGGCGATGATGGCACCGCAGCCGCCTGCTGTGCCCGAGGCGGAGGCGACGCCGGCCGACGGCAACCCACCGCCGGCCAAGCGTCAGAAGATGTGATTTCGCCATCAATATGGAGCCTCTGTGTTACTTATCTTTCTTGTCGTCGTTCTCGTCGTTCTCGGGTTGTACCGTCTTGTCTTCGGTGGGCATGCTCGGGACGAGGCGCGTCGCGACCTCGTGGACCATTGGCGGCTGCGTCGACATGCGCAGCTTGGGCAGCAGGATGAACACGATGAGGAAGAGCACAAAGCCGACAACGATGCCCACGTTGACGCCGCAGATGCGGTTGACCGGGTACGGGAGGCAGTAGGGCTCGTCGGCCACGCGGCGCTGGCGCCAGCTGCCGTCGACGTGCTGCGCCATAGGGACCGCTGGAGGAGTTCGGATACTGCGAAGGTATCCGGTAGATACAATTCGGCATGTGCCATGTTGAAGCTTTGCCTCCAATTTCGCTGCCCGCGCAATGTGTAGACGCACCAAGGCTGTATTCTACACGCGAGAAGAGCTCCACGTATTCAAGCCTGAGCTCTTTCAGCTTGCGTTCGCGCCTGCCGTCTCGGTGCAGCGAGCTATGGCAAGTGCGATTTCGGTGGCTGCTCGTCGTTTAGGCGGCTGCTGGTGGCGTAGCCTGACTGGACGACGTCTCTCCTCTTAGACGTTCTGTACTACTGAGCAAGATTGTCGTGTGAGACTCGTATAGCAGCGCGATCAACAGCGAGCTTGCGGGTGTGCAGGAAGCCAACGCGCGGGTGGCCGCGTTGTTGTTTTCGGCATTTGCCGATTGCAAGATCGCAAATTCTGGTTATTTGAGTGGAGCGACGATGGAGGTCCATGTGTGGAGCTCGCTGGAAGAGCAGGTCGATACGGTGCTGCCCGTCGAGATCGCCGGCGACAAGTACCTCGTCGCGGTAACCTCGTTCCTCGAGGGCAACGACTGGAGCAGCAGCGTGCGGCTCTTGCGCTACGCCAGCGGCGTCTTTGAGCACGTCCACGCCCTGCGCCTCCCGACCAGCGTCGCCAGCGTCGCGTGGTTCGAGCCCGACGTGCTCGTTTGCGCCGGCGACGATGGCGATCTTTACTATTGCATGTATGACACCGAGGCGTCTCGTTGGCGCCGCCTCGACCCGGAAGTCGCGCATGGTCACAACGACCTCATCACGTCCGTGGACATCCATGTGTCGACGCTCGCGTCGGCCAGCTGGGACAACAGCGTCAAGGTCTGGGACCTCACAACGATGGCGCTGCGCGAGCAGCTCAAGGACCACACGGACAAGGTCTGGGGCGTCCAGTGGGCGCCGTTGGCGACGGAGCAGTGTGCGACCGCGTCCCAAGATCGCACCGGTAGCTGTCGCTTGCACCAACCTCCGTCTCTCGAAGATGCTTATGCCATGGTATATAGTGCGGCTGTGGGATACGCGCCAGCCCCGCGCGACCACGTCCGTCTCGACGCCAAGCGCGGCCATGTGCGTGGCGTGGCACCCGACGCAGGACCACCTCGTGACCACGGGCCTCGAAGACGGGTCGCTCTGGACGATCGACACGCGGTCCTTGGAGACGACGCTCTCGACCTTGGTATCGCGACTGCGACCTCCCGCCCACATCGCTCACACGTCACGTAGAACCAAGTGCATCGCAGCAGCGTGCATGCCATCTCATACCACGACGATGCGCTGGCGTCGGCTTCGGACGACACGACAGTGCAGATCTGGGACCATCTCTCGTCGGCGTCGCCCACACAGCGGTAGGCTTCAACGGCCCATATGCTACCGTACTGACTGTATACTAGGCTCGTGTACGACGAGCACGCAGACTATGTACACGGGGTCGCGTGGTGGCATGGCAACTGCGTCGTCTCGAGCAGCTATGACAAGAGTGTGCATCTTTGGCCCGTCGAAGCCTAAATGCCAAGACTTCTTAAATAGGTAGCAGCTCTTTCCCACTGTCCGCAGCTTCCTTGGGCTTGGCCTTGGCGACCGAGTTGCGCGCAGGCTTGGGTGGGGGCTTGACGTCGAGTAGCCACTCGTGCGCGAGCGCATCCGATGGCGTCAGCCGCACGGCCGGGTCCCATGCCAAGCACCGCGCGACAAAGTCGGTCATTTTGCCGTCCGGGTTCTTCAGTAGCGCGCGGAGCTCGCGGGACTTTGGTCGGCGCTTCCGACCGCGTGAGTTGACGAGTTGGAGGGGCTCACCAGCTTCGTCAAAGAAGTTTTTGCGGCGCTTGCACGACGCCACCATCGAAGCCGGCGGGACGTCCAGCACCTCCATGATGCAAGCGAGCTGCTCGGCCTCGTTCTCACCCGGGAATATCGGGTACCCGGTGAAGAGCTCGCCGATGATGCAGCCAAAGGACCACATGTCGATCGGGTGGCCGTACGGGAGGCCGAGGATGACCTCGGGCGCGCGGTAGAAGCGCGACTGGATGTACGTAAAGAAGGTTGCGTTCTCAAAGCAAGACGAGCCAAAGTCGATGAGCGCGACAAGGTGCGTCTTGGGCTTCTTCAAGAGGATGTTTTCGGGCTTGAGGTCGCAGTGCACAATGCGCTGGGCCTTGAGAAAGCTCAGCGCGAGGAGCATTTCCACCGCCATCTTTTTGATCAAAAGCACGGGGAGACCGCGGAATTGCTCGAGGCGAAGGTGCTCGTAGAGGTTCAAACTCAGGAGCTCAAAGCTCATGCAGAGGTGGCAGCGGAACGTAAACGACTCGTGGAGCCGAATGATGTTGCTCTTCCCATCGCTATCGGCTTGCTTCATGTGGGAGAGGAGCTGCGCTTCGACGATCGACTGCTCCTGGAACTTTTGCTTGTTGCGTACGATCTTGACCGCCACCATTGCCCGAGCCGCGCGGTCGTGGCACTTGAGCACTTGGCCAAACGAGCCGCGCCCAAGATGCCCGACGATCTCGTACCGGTACGCAATGTGGTCGTGGACGTTCCCGAGATAGTCGCCGTTCTCGTCGTCAAAGCTAGGAGGCATATGGGAGGCAACACACCATGGAGGACGAGCGTACCCGTCGTTGCCGACCGCGTTGGCGCGCGTCTTGGACGCGAGCGTGCCATAGTAGTAGACCTTTTCGACCGCCAAAATCTCGGTTTTCTCAAAGTCCGTGAGCTCCTGCGACGCGGTCTCGAGCACGGCCTGCGGCGTTTGGACGCTTGTCGGCGCCGACTCGAGCCCTTTGTTTTGGCCGCGATTGTGGTCATAGCCCCGGGGTGGGTCCTTGGCTGGCTGCTTGGGCGGCGGTCGCGGCTCGGTCGGCGGTCGCGGTACGGCCGTGGCCATCGACGTCTCGGCCACTTTGCTCGGTGCGTTTTCCTTGGCAGTCTTGGCATCGACTTGGGCCTTGGTCGCACTACTGCTATCAGGCTTGGTGGCGTCGGGCGCCTTGGGCTTGGCACTGTCACGAGGCTTGTTGTTGGGTTCGGGCGGGCGCATTGGCTGGAGACGAGGGTTGCTTGGCGGCGGGTCGCTCGGCTCCTTGCGCTCGCGCATGCTCACCGCCAAGGACGGGATCGACGTCGACCGCGCCGGCTCCTTCTCGACGGCGACCGGCGCGGTTCGCCCGAGGTGGAAGCGGTCGCGCAGCGACGGCAGCTCAATGGGCCGGCCAAACGCGCGCATGCGACGAGTTGAACCCGGGCAAATGGAACCCTTTCGTATTTTTAGCCGCACTCGGTAAAAAGGCGGGATCCGCGGACGCCTTTTCGGCTTCAAAGACAGGGGCGTCGCGTAGGTACATTCTGAACCAGCTGGGGCTGGCGACGGCGTGGGACGCTTTGCAAAGCGAGCAGGTTCTTCGTGCTCGTCGTCGCTGCAGGAGAAGAGTGGCTTCAGGAATCGATGCGCGTTGCTCGGCTTCCTCGGGCTGTCGATTGTGTCGGGTGAGGTGGACCTTATAGCATTGCCAACACGTGGAGAAGCAGCGCCTTTCGCAGGCATCCAATGCATCATCATCATATACTCATCTCAACGCCCCAGCTCCAATATGCCATGAAGCCCTACATCTGCACAGTCTGCTGCAACACCGTCGACGACAGCCTATCGCGCATGCTGGTGCAAGGGCAGGAGGAGGCATGGGATGGAATCTGTGCACGGGCACGGCTTTTCGGAAACTGCAGGTCCACCCATGGATCGTCCCATGTTGGTCGGTACGATCTGGTCGATCGTGTCGAGTACTTTGAGTTTGTAATACCGAGCGGCCGCTTTTCTTGCACATGTAGCATATGCTGGTGCCAGCTGGTGCACTTCAGAGTTGAGCGTTTTCAGGACAACAACGATTCGCGGCCAAACGGGGTACATGTACGGGCCAATTATTATATTTACACCCACTTGGCCCGCCAACACGCTAGCCGCATTCGAGTAGTACGGTATGCTTCACCTCGAGTACGTACTAGTAGTTGGTATGGGGACAGGCCAATTTGCGCGCTGCGTGCGTCGAGTGCGACCTCGCACGCGCGCGCTGTCACCAAGCCAACTCGTCGATCAGATTTGGCACCTCTGCTTTGCAAGATGTGCTCCCGACGCTTCTGATCATGGCAACCCATCGCGTCGTATTTTTTTATTTTCAAATAAATAGAGCGTTGCGCCTGCGTCGTTTTTATTGTGCCCACTCGGACGTCGCCGCGCCGTCTGAGTTGCGGCCTTGCATGATGGCCAGGTCCCGGCTCTAATGCATTAGCAGCCCATAAGTAGCAGCGTCGGGACGCACCTCTGGCGACGCGTATCAGCGATTCCTTCACTTGGCGATCGGCGCCGTCCCGAGCGTCCGCACTTCTGTCTGCAAGTTGAAGCCACGCGTTGCCGTCTTTAGCGCCAGCCTCATCTCGCCGTAGGAAATGTATCGACAGCGCTTCAGGATTATAGAAGGAGGAGACGAAAGCTGCGCCGGGATGGACGAGATAATAGACGGTGGGTTGCCACAGGCGAAACAGTACACGGGTGCTGCAGTTGCCTTCGTCGTCGCTGTCGATAGAGGCAGTGCCACGTCCAACTTCAAGATCTTATCGTGGCCAACATTGCGCTCGGCGATTAAAATATCATTTGAAATTGGACGCGTGGGAGCTATTAAAAACGCGCACCCAATCGCGGCGCATTTAAAAAAAGAGACGCGTCGTACAATCCAATGGCATACAAATCTTCAATCATACAATGCAACCACGCCGCGCGCCAAGAGGGGGACACGAAAAAAAGACACGCGGACTTTTTTTTTTTAAATGGCGCACCTCGCATTAAAATAGCAGGTGGTTTTATTGCAAGTGTCTTTTATTCGGCTCCTTTTTTGTGAGATTTAATTGAGCATACAAAGAGAGAGTGTACGTTGTGAAAACGCAATAAAAATTGGTGGCCAAGGCGGATTGTATTGCCCCCTCCCAGAACTTATCGCTAGGCCCGCAGCTACTCGAGTACACTGTACACGGCGCTCCACTAAGAACGGCGACGTGGGCTAGGACTTCTGCTTTTCCCGACAAACCCGCAAGTCAAGTACACATCATGGAGATCGCATCGGACGTCCGGGAGCTGCTTGTCGGCCTCAAGGAGCCCAACACGGCCGCGGAACAGCAGGTGTTCCTCGAGATCCAGGCCATGCACATGACGTACTGCGAGTTTATGACCAAGCTCTCGGCGCAAGTCGCCGACCTCGCGCTCGGCTCGTCACCGGAAGCGCGCGTCTTCTTTTACCAGCTCCAGCGCGCTATTTATCAAGACTGGACCTCGACGATCACAGAGTGTGCGTTCTTCTCGTCGCCCAACTCGCCGTCAACGCTGCAGCGGAAGCTCGACTTGTACGAAGGTGTGGCGCGCGACTGCATGGGCTCGGAGGACCTCTGCAAGTGCGCGTGCGCGTCGTCGCTCGAGGCCAACGCGAACCTCTCGATAGAGCAGTGCATCGGCCTCTACGAGGCCCACCGGGCGCACTCGCATTAGGAGTGCCACCACCATGATTAGGTTAGAAAAAACTCGTTTTAAAATATTGTAATAGCGCGCCGTGGGTAGTTTGTCGTTTCGAGTTTGTCGCTGCGCGTCTACCCACTACATGCTGGCACTGCATCGACTGTCTCTGCGTCGTCCTCCGGCATGGGTGCTGGGATATGATGGCGAGTTGCAGTGGCGACGGAGTTGCGACGCGTGAGACATATTGAGCATTTTCCGTGTTAAACCACCTAAGTTTGGTCCTATATTACGCAGTTGCCGCTTACTCGATGATCTTGGAGACGACGCCGGCGCCGATCGTGCGGCCACCTTCGCGGATCGAAAACTTCATGCCTTCGTCAATGGCGACGGGGTGGATGAGCTCGATGCGAAGCGTCGGGTTGTCGCCGGGCATGACCATCTCGGTGCCTTCCGGGAGCATAATGTTGCCCGTGATATCGGCCGTGCGGAAGAAGAACTGCGGGCGGTAGTTGGTGAAGAACGGCGTGTGGCGGCCGCCCTCTTCCTTCTTGAGGACGTACACACCGGCCTCGACCTTGGTGTGCGGCGAGATCGAACCGGGCTTGCAAAGCACCTGGCCGCGCAAGACGTCGTCGCGCTTCAAGCCACGGAGAAGCACACCGACGTTGTCGCCGGCCTGGCCGCGGTCAAGCGACTTGCGGAACATCTCAACACCCGTGCACGTCGTCTTCGTGGGCACGTCGCGGATACCGACAAGCTCGACTTCATCACCCGTGTTGATGACACCCGTCTCGACACGGCCCGACACGACCGTACCACGGCCCGAGATCGAAAACACATCTTCGACCGGGAGCAGGAACGGCTTCTCAAAGTCACGCGTCGGGTCCGGGATGTATTCATCGACCTGGTTCATGAGCTCAATGACAGCGTCACGGCCGAGGTTGTGGTCACGGCCTTCGACGGCGGCGAGGGCCGAACCGCGGACGATCGGGATGTCGTCGCCGGGGAAGTCATAGACGTCGAGGAGCTCACGGATTTCCATCTCGACCAATTCGAGGAGTTCCTCATCATCGACCATGTCGACCTAGTTTGGATCGCACCATCAGTGCCTGTGCCATGATGGGATGATGCAGCGTACCTTGTTCAGGAAGACGACAAGGGCGGGGACACCGACCTGGCGGGCCAAGAGGATGTGCTCGCGCGTCTGGGGCATCGGGCCATCTGTGGCCGAGACGACCAAGATGCCGCCGTCCATCTGCGCAGCGCCCGTGATCATGTTCTTGACGTAATCAGCGTGGCCGGGGCAGTCGACGTGGGCGTAGTGGCGCTTTTCCGTCTCGTACTCGACGTGCGAGGTCGAGATCGTGATACCACGAGCGCGCTCCTCGGGGGCCTTGTCGATATCTTCGAAGGCAATGAACTTGCCACCGCCCTGCTCCGAGAGGACACGCGTGATGGCCGCCGTGAGCGTCGTCTTGCCGTGATCGACGTGACCGATCGTGCCCACGTTAAGATGGGGCTTGGTGCGGTCGAACGTGGCCATGCCACGGACGGACGACGGGATGCGACGGGCGAGTTGGCGCAACATGAGCTCAAGCGAATTCGAGAATCTCAAAGTGGCCGCGACTGCAGCCCCAGTATACACAGCCTCGTAACCACTGGTTGGGCCCGATCCATCCGCATATAGTGTTACAAATTGCATTATAGTGTCAGATGTAACCTTTGCGCGCGGCCTCGCCGGGCACGCCTGCACGAGCGACACCCGACGTGGCGTGGCCTGCCGCACGATCACGTCCTACACCCCGTGCACTGGTACATACTGGCCATGCCACCGCGGTCACATTGCATTTACGCAATCTGACCTGGGCCTGGTCCGTAACCTTCGGGAGCGTTCTTTCCACCTCGAAACGTAACTGGGTGTCGCTTGCGTGGGCCACAACGAGCGTTTGCAAAGCAACGTGCAGATCGACACCCAACGCGTGCCTGCAGAGTGATCGGGACAGCGACAGCCCACACCGCTGTGGCGGACGCAGCGTCCTACGACACACACTATTTGACATTGAAAGCTACGGTGGGTGCCCATTCTTCACACTATTTACGACATTCCCCCAATTCGTTGCAAAGACGTGGCTTCAACCTGCGCTTTGTCGCGGCATCTCCCTTTTTTATTCCAAAATACCCTAAAAAGTGCAGTTTTAAACAAAATAACCCTATAATGTCAATAGAAATCCCGTAATGGCAATCTATGCACCCGGCTGTCCGATACAAGCCGTATGTCGCATCCACGTCCAAGAGATGTGGCGCGGCAAGGTGCATCAAAAGATAAGGGTTTCGGACCCTGTTTTTGTCCGAGACGAGACATTTTGTCATTGGTGGGGTTGGGAGGGATTTGCTCGAGATGGATTCCGGCAGCACCAGCTGGAGGGCAACCCTCGGAGCAGGATCAGCTGCGCCGCGGCCAAGCGCTTCCTTGCGCAAGTACCCGAGCTCGACACCTTGCAATATCCGTGCCCATCGCGCTGACCACGGAGCTTCTTTCTGAGCTTCTGCAATGCAAAACTTGGTCTGAGCTACTCAGTAGCTGCAGGGTTCTCAATCGCAGAGTTGGTTGACGCGTCAAATCCAGAACGGCGCCCGAATCAGTCGCCGGATCGTCGGGGGCCTTCGCTGGCCCGGACGACCACGGCAATTCGTACATAGCCATGCGTTTGTCTCTCGTTGGCGGTGTGCATCAGAACCGTAGCTTCATATCAAGCATGGCGTAGCGCCATGTCATTTGACACGCATAAATTGGGTCATCCTCTGCACACCGACTAAGAAACACTCGCGAGCACTGTTCTAGTCGATACGACTGCTGTCTACTCCATCTACTAACAGTGCTGACGATGCGACGACGACGGACTCTGCCTCTCTGACGTGGCCCTTCGCGAAATGACAAGTGGATTCCAAATGTCGTATCCGGTCATCCGGATACGATGGCAGCACTGGTCGCGGGGGCGGGGCTGGCGCCAAATCGCGGGAAAACGACAAAAAGCCGCCAAATCGCGGGAAAACGACAAGAGGCGCCAAACGAAACCCGACACGAAGGTGACAGAAGACAATATTGTGTCCTTAGAACAGTTTAAATTACGTCATACACACATGGACGGAAGGAGCTCGTCCAGCGTCGTTACGATCTCGGTTGCCGTCGGCCGGAGCGCTGGGCTGTGGGCAATGCACGCGAGCACGAGCGTCTCGAGCCAAGGTGGGCAGTCAGAGGACAATGTGGGTGCGATTTTGCCTTGCATGACCTACAGCCAGCCATAAGATCCGAGTCGACTGTACTAGAACGACCTTGTACATGATGGCAAAGTTGCCCAGTGGCTCGCCACGCGCGTTGGTAAAGTCGGCGTATGGCATCGCATGCGTCTCGAGCTCGGCCAAGACCTACAGCCATCCATAGTACGAATAGACGAATGAGGACTCGGACCATGCCAAACGAGTAAATGTCGGCTTTGGTGTCGTAGTGCTTGCCTTTGAGCACCTCGGGGGCCGTCCAGCGGTACGTGCCGACAGCGTTGGTCATGCTTTCGTCCGTGACGTGCCGAGCGATGCCAAAGTCGGCGAGCTTGGCGTGGGCGTGCGCATCCGTCAAGAGTACATTGCGCGACTTCAAATCCCGGTGAATCACCTAATTAATCAACCCAATTCATGAACCAAACTCTGGAGTCATTGGTTTCACCTCAGTGGCGTGGAGGTACACGAGTCCTCGCGCGATTTCCAAAGCAAATTGCGCTTTTTGCGACCAAGCGACGCTGTTGCGGGCGCGACTGTAGAGAAACGCTTGTAGATCCCCGCCCGCCATGTACTCCATCACGCAGCGCACATCGCCTGTCGCATCCCAAAAGACGCCGACGAGGCCAACGAGATGCGGGCTGCACAGCCTAGTACCGCAGGTGTGAGGCAATGATGTCGGCAGGAGCACCATCACAACCTTGTCATGAGTTCGATCTCGTCGAGGAGGGTCTCCATGTACTCGGCCGATTGCTTCTCGCTCCGGAGCTGCTTGACGGCAACGAGTATCGACTCCTTGTATGTCGCGAGTCGCACTCGCCCAAACGAGCCTTGGCCCAGCACAGTGTCGAGGAAGCGTACGTCCTGCGGCTCGAGGCGGAAGTGCTGCAATTGGTCCGACGTCCACGGGGTGCTCAGCAAGTCAAAGTCATCGTCCGTGCGCGGCGACTTGACGGCTTGTGTGCGGCGGCGGCGGTACCAAACAGCATAGAGACAGAGCGCAGAGAGAAGGGCGACCGCAGCCGCGACGATGCCTGCGATGGCACCCGCGCCAAGGCTCGAGCCAATCTCATCGACGCGGTCGCCTCCTACATTCCATTTTAGGGTCCGCCGAAGCGCGTCGAGCGTACCGAGGACGCAGATCTGGAGCGGGGCGGGCAGCAATGACGTGGCATTCGCATACGCTGCCACGTGTCCAAGCGTTTCACAGCCCCACCCCAAAGCGAGCGACGACAGGTTGGCGCCGACGACGATGCGAGCTTGCTCGAGCTCGTGGTAGGCGCCAACGTCACTCGAGAACGACACCAACGGCGTGTTTTGGAGGTACCTAGTCAAAGATGGGGGTATGACGCGCACTTGTCATCGCAATGGCATACATGTAGCGCAGGCGCGTCGTATTGTCACTAGACAAGGTCGTGGGTTACAACTCAGAACGGCGAGGTACGCTTGGTACTTGTTGGGGGAGATGGTCACGTCGAGCGACGTCAAGTACGGGTTGTTGGAAAAATCCCTACCAAACCGCTGAGCCATACGAACTCGACGAGGCGTACAGCGTACAAGATGGACGCTTCGGTGAGGTCCATGGCCTGGAGCTGCTGCAGGCGGTTGTAGGACATGTTGCTACATCTCGGCTCAAGCCCTTTGCTGTGCAAAACGTCGTACAGTGTTTGCACAAACGGTAGGTTCACAAATGTTTCGATCAAGTTGAGCGAGAGGTCCCTAGCGCAAAAAGAATAAGATGGCAATAAGCAGGAGGTGACGACGACGCACAAGTAGACAAGACTGTCGGGCCACGCCATGGGCGTCGTGGACGTTGCGTCCGCGAACGAGAGCAGGCCATTGTTGCGCAGCGAACTACACGCGCGTCAGAAGATGCCAAGCAGCACAGCAGCAGCATACATGTGCGTGAGGTTGGGCGGCCAGAACGCGTCGCGCTCGTTGATGAGCCGCGGCCAGTTGTTGTCGAGGACGTACGAATTCTCAAACGTCCTACTCGACGGTCAGGCGTGCGAGGTCGACGACAACAGCGACGCACAGGTTTTTGAGAGACCGGGGCAGGTACAGGCCCGAGACGTTGAAGATAGCGTCCTGGATCGACCTACAGCGGAACCGTCACGTGCTTTGTCACTCGCATGCGAGCAGCGTCATACAAGGACTCGACATTCGCAGTGAGGGTCGCCACTGTCGACGCGTTTTGGCCTGGCAGCCGCATACCAACCTGCGTGATGCCGTTGCTTCGAAAAGACCTAGGCGGAGGCATGAGGCGCGACGACAAGGAGCGTCGAGCGGACAGGCGTGGCGTGTCGGGCAGGTCGTGGATGACATCGATGGTGTCGGTGATGCCGCCGGTATAGTTGTAGGTGGCCGGGTACGCTGTTCGCACAGCGCAGGCTTCGTTGACGACGCAGCAGCCTGGCGCCTTGCAGTACGCAGCGACGCACGTGAACGTCGCGTTGTAGGCGGCAAACGGGCAGGCCATGCGCAAGGAACTGGTGAATTCACCGAGTGGCCGATCGAATTCGCGTATCAAGTACTGCGTACGTCGCGTGTCAAACACTCTATTTACAAAAACTCTGATTCGCTTCGACGAGCATCTGTGCCATGTACTGGATAAGCGAATATATACCAGCAAGCCATCAGTAGAAGCACAGGAAGCAGTTGACCATAGAGCCGTGAGCCATTGTGTCATTCATGGCTACGTCTTAGGCTGGCTACGGTATGTAATGGCTCGTGGGTAACCTCACTCACACTGGTCGTCTGCCTCATGTCCTCATGGCTTGAGCTGACAACGAAAGCGGCGCATGCGAGGGTAGCGGCGCCGGAGGGCCTTGAGCATCGAGGCGTAGCTGTCGCTGATCGTCAACATCTCATCTTCGTGAAGCTCGGCGCGGTCGCTGAGAACCTTCTGGAGACGCACGAGCGTCGGTACGAAGGTGCTCAAGCGCCACGGGTGCAGCGAGAGCTCAGCGTGCAGTGCCGCAAGCGTCTCGATCCATGTGCCGAGGTCCTGAGCATCCGCAGTGTCGGTGGTCGCCGCATGCATATCTTGAAAGGACGTGATGACAGACTTGACGACAAGGAGGACACGACTGGTGAGCTTCCAGACGCGCTTGGCCTTTGTGGCGTCATCAGGGACCTCGAGCTGGGCTTGCGTCGAGTCGTCTTCGTGGTCGTCGTTGGAGAGACAGTGCGCTGGCTGCGCGGTGAGAGTGTCGACGGGGGCGGTTGGCGCATCTGGCGTACCGGCGTGGAAGGAGCCCATGGGCAGACCGCCGAGGTACAGGCAGCATGGGTCGTGCGTCCCAAAGGTAATCATTCGCTTGCGCGGGGCACTGTGCTGCGGGTCGGCCACTGAGCGCGGAAACGCTGGGTACGACACGTAGCGACTACCTGCGCCAAAGCCGACCGCGGGTTCGTACAAGGGACACGGCTCGAGTGTGCCAAAGGTGACCGTGGGTGCGAGACAGGGCATGTTGCCGTCGGCTTGGGCCGACGGAGACGAGCCATCCTGCTCGAGGCCGACGAAAGGGTCGTGCAGGTGGCACGGTGCAAGCGTACCGAAGGTGATCGTCGGGGGGTCGACAGTGGCGCTCGAGTCGCCAAGCACGACAAAGTACCGGGTCGCTGTCGCTAAGCAGCTAGCGCTGTCGCGGCTCATGCAGATCGGCATGTCAAGCGGATAGCACGGATCTTGCGTGCCAAACATGAGCGTCGCCACGCTGCCCGCATGTGGGATCGTCGTCTCGGCTAGGAGGAAGAAGCGCTGGGCCATCGGCGTAAAGTTGTCCAAGCGCATGCTGTTCGTGCAGCTACTGAGCTCGCTGTTGCTGCTATCTCCAGAGCCGGCAGATTCTACAATGAGCCGAAAAGAACAGGCCTTGAACCTCCCAACCAGGACCCTGCGCTCTCCTTCTCGCGGCTCGCCCGGCTCTGCCGCCTGATGTCGTCGAGGCTACGTCCGAGCAGCAAGAGCGTCGCGGCCCCGGTCGTCTCCTGCTCGGCGCCATCACCACGGTTGCCTGTCGCGTCCGGTGCACGTGCGTCGGGTGCACGATGGCCCAAGATATATATTTTAAAGAGCCATAAGAAGCAAGCGTATGTTATATAACATATCAAGCGCCAAACACAGCCTGCTGGACCAATCGACCAAGCTCGCACTGTTATGGCTGCATAACTCGTGTACGAGTACTTGGCAACCTTGCGCATCGAGCTACATGCATGCGCCTTGTCTTGCCAACACGGTCCGAGAGCCCAAAATGGCGGTCCCTCGGCGAAAATATGGCGTCGTTTCGACTGTGCAAAATCCGGATAAAACCGGCAAAGTTTATTTCTGCGCCAGTTATCCCTGACGAAACGTCGCCTAAAAAGGGGATGAAACATTGGTCAACATCCACACTGTTGCGCACGACCAATGTCACGCAGCAAAGTTGGGCCAACGACTCGAAGCCGCAGCTACCGCGTGCGGCGCCACCGGCTCGGCTTGTATGTTTGCGTCACCTCGATGCTCAATGTCTCGTCTTTGGTACAGTACGCGCACGGTTTCATTTAGATTGACGACCCTTGCGTGTAGCCGCTAGCAGCCTACATCTCGGAGCATTTCCCGTGGCAAGGCTACTCTACGCCGCCCGAGACGTTTGCCAACTACAGCGACTTTAACACTGCGTTTCTCGCCCTCAACCAAAAACGCTACTCCAACACCACGCTGCCCGTGGGCACGACGTTCCTCATGGACGACGCCCAGAACGCCCAAGTCGCCCGCACCAAACTCACGACGCATTCGCAGCCAATGAGCTTGGATGGTTGCTTCGCGAGCTCGCTCATGGGACTCCCAGGACTTGTCTTTTACACGAGCGCCAACATGCAAAGCATCTGCGCGGCGCTCAACAATGTGTCACGCATCCCAATAGTGGGGTTCAAATTGTATGTAGGTTCTTGTAGGAGTATATGTAGGAAAAATAACGCCACGTGATTGGCCAAAATGGCCGTGAATTTCGAGGTTTCCTACAAGTCGTCAGAGGCTTTGTATCTTCGAACTACGACGATTTCTACATATAAGAGCCAGTTCTTTCATATACCTCCGAGGCTATATGAAAGAACTGGCTCTTATATGTAGGAAAAAAGAGTTGGCTTGTAGGAACAAAAGGCAACATCTGGAGCAAAAAGAGGATCTTTCATTCGTCGTCTGCACGTTAGATATGCCTGGGAGCCGAAGGACGAGATCGACCTCTTCGATCGGATAACCCGCATCTAGAACCTCCTTGCGTGCCAAAGCGAGCTGCTTCGCTATCTCAATGTTCTTGAGGCGTAGGTCGGCCTCGAGAAGCGATGTTTCCATCGCCATCTTCGACTTCTCCAAATCGAATCGACTCTCGTCTAGCTCGACTCGACGCATGTCGACCTCTGCGCGGCGTTGCTCGCCAGCCGCTGGGTTTCCAACCAAGCTGCTCAAAGACGCAAACGCACCCTTCGAGCTGTTCTGCTTCTTGTTGGACATCGTGGGAGTGAATGGTGCCGTTTCCCGGTCGAGTCGTTGCCTTGGGTGTTCTCTGCAAGAAGAGCCGGAAAGGGGCCGCTTGCAGTAGACGCGGGAGTAGCGGTGGACGCAGCGGAGGGCCGACTACCAAACGCTGACGCCTGGTCATCGTCTGGCATCTCCGTTTCGGAGCCAGAGTCATCGGTGTCCGAGCTACTTGAGCTGTCGGAGGTGTCGTTCGCCAAAAGCAGACGCGACGACGGTCGATCGGCTTTACAACGCTTATTGATTGGCTCGAATCACTTGAAAGTGAGATGCGTCACAACATGCGATGGCGCGTCCCAGAAGCAACTCCTACAAGTGGGGTTCAATTTCGTTTTGGTTGTAGGAATGCGGGCTTATCGACGTCATTTATTTCTAGGCTTCTGATTGGACAAAAAGCTCCGAATTTTCGATTCCTACATATATTCCTACAAGAAACCTACATATAATTTGAACCCCACTAATGACACAGAAAACGCATGCTTTCATCCTCGCTTGTTCACGTACGTGTATGGCCGGTCGTGTGTTTGGCTCGTGCCTGGCGACGCCATCTCGAACCGTCCTAACAAGCTGGATAATGTTGTCACGCTCTACTTTGCCAAGACGGAGCTTCGACCCCGGGCATTCTCGTGGCTTTTGTTTGTCTATCGTCTGGGTGTGACGCTCTTTGTGTGGTACCGGCTCTACGCCCACTACTACCGCCACTGCTTGGAGCTCGAGGCGCGGCTTTGTCAATGCAGCCACCGACTCAAGATGCCACCGGGCGATTGGTCGTACGAGATTGTGCTGGGCGACCCGATGGCCATTGTGCTTATGGACGCGTGGGTCGTGTCCCTCTACTACCTCGATATCTGGGTCAACGTCACCGACTTTGGCGTCGCTACGATGCAAATGCAGGTCAGCGACGACCTGTGGCTCATGGAGCGGTCCTTTACCTGTCGCGCACGGTACATACATCATTGCGTCCTCCGATCCCACACGTGGTACTAGGTCTGGTTTGCGTACTGGGGTCTCTGCCTCGTCTCGCACGTGCTCAAGCGCTGGCGCAAAGAACATTGCTTTTCCGAAGTCGACTCGACACTTCTTGCGGTCGCGGTGACGGTTTGCAGTCCCATTCTTGTGTTCATGTTGGAACACATTGAGAACTGTGCCGGCTGTACCAAAGCCTCTTCTACTGCCTCGTGTCCACGGCGCTTCTGAGCAAAGAGAGCGAAGCGGCGCTCGTTTGCGTCATCTATGCCTGGACGACGCTCAGTTTTACGTTGGTCTACGGCGACGTCGCAAGTATGTACACATGGACATTGCAACAGGCTGTTATCATGCCAGTAGGGTGTGTTCGTCGACCACTGGCCATCCCAGAGGATTGCAGCTCTGCGCGCTTCAACAGCGTCAAGAGCGCCGCCTTATTCCGCGCCGCCAAAACCTTGCGGAAGCGGCCTGCGCGCGGTGGCACCATCTATCACGCGATGGACTTGAACGCGCAGTCCGACGATCAGTCTACGGGGCACCGACTGCTTCGTGCTTTTCTACTGCAACAGCGAGCTCGTCGAGAGGCTGCGCCTGAGCCTTCACTCGTGCGCCAACTTGAAGAGCGCGGTGATTCCACACGGCAAGGAGCCGTCCAAGTACGTCATCAACGAGTTGCGCGCGGCGATGTCTCTCGTGATCAAGGAGTGTGGTCCCGTCCTACCGACAACCAGGAAATACGAGCTGCGCACGTCGCTTGAGCCTTCTGTTTGGTGTATTTAGAATGCAGTAAAATGCCATGACTTGAAATGACACGGGAAATCCAACGAATGGTATCGTTGATACTGTAGGTTTGACAAGATGATATGATATGGATTGAAATCTTTATACAGACTAAAGACTCCACCTACTAAGACTTAAAAACTAGTTGTGTGTTGAACGTCGGCGGCCAAAAGCTCTTCAACGTGCAGGAGTTCCTCGGCCGGCAGTACATCGTGCCGTCCGTCGTCGGGATGCGCGTACGAGGTGCAGTCGTCGGGTGCGAGCTTGGACAAATGATCCGTGGCTTGGTTGAACTCGCGAGGGTGGTGTTCCCATGTGCACGTAAAACATGCCGCGAGCTCCCGCGCCTGGACATGCAGCTTCTGCAAGCGAGCCTCTTGGACCCGGTAGATGCCCTTCATCTGCTGCATCAGCAGCATGCTGTCGCCGCGCACCGTGAGATGCGTCACTGCCAGTCGCTGAGCTAACTGGAGCGCCGTGATCAGACCGTCGTACTCGGTCTCGTTGTTCGTTGTCGCGGTATCAAGGTAGTTGGCTTGGTACACCACGCTCTGGGGCGGCTCGGTCAAAAAGACGAGCGAGCCACTACCGCCACAGTGCGGATCTTTCCGAGCCGCGCCATCAAAGTACGCGACCCCCGCAAGCGAGGTCATGTGGCACACCGGGTCGAGAACAGCGTGCTCGCCGTGTTGCTGCACGAGCGACTCGAAGACACGAGCTCGGAGTGCGTGGTGGCGTCGAGTGTGGTACTGGCGTTGCGCCTCGCAAGTCCAAAGTAGCGTACCGAACGTGCGTGTGGTCCGGCAGCACGTCGTCAGGAGCGTGAATCTTGCGACACCGTTGGTTCCATAACGTCCGGAGCGTGAGGTGGCGTAGCATCTGCCAGGCTTGTTGCCCGACGAGATCAAACACGATGCCGTGGGAGCGCCAATGTGCGGCCCGCACCAGCCACGCCGGTGCGGCCAGAGGTTTGACAAGATCGAAAACGATGGAGACTGTTCAAGTTGAGATCGAAAGCCTGGGATGCGTGCATAGATAGTACAATATATTAGAGACACTAGGATGTGTCGACAGTGTCAGCACGCACATCGCACTCCGCTCTTGGGTAGCGGACTCATGCCCTTGAACAAACACATGGTGGACAAGAGCTCCCCTCATGTCGGTCACCTCTTGAACTGCTCCGCGATGTTGCGTCGGAAACGCTTGCCGCAAAATCTTCTAGATGCCTCTCGCTCTTGTGCTTCTCGTGCCGTCTCGTTGAGGAAGTTGAATTCGCCGAGGCAATCGAAGCCACCGGGCATCGCAATCGCTTGCCTATCGCTTCTTGGCGTTGATCTGGTTGAATCGGAACGTCTCGCGGTTGGGCTCTTTGTCCGAGGTGAGGCGCATGATCTCCTTCTTGGTCTTGTCGCCAAAAATCGCAATCCTCTTGTGCTTGACGTCAGCCGGGCGAAATGACGCGGGATCGCGTACTGTGTGCTGTGCGGGAAGTGCACCGAGGATGAGTAAGACGTCATTTCCTCCGGGGTCAAATGCGACCGAAGAACTTGATTGAGGCTGTTGAGAACCTCAGCGTCGTGTTCATTTTGGTGTAGAGCTCTTCGACCTTGTTGAAGTCCTTCGTTGGCGCCGAGACGTACTCCTTGAGCAGTCGAGTCAACGTCGTGACGTTGGACTCGCTGTACTAGTACTTCTTTTGGATGTCGGCCCAAATCTCGTGAATCGGCCTCTTGTCGGCAAACGTGCTCGAAGCTCGTTGACCATAGCTGGCTGGCATGAGCTGCATAAGATGCGAGCAGGTCTGCGGTCGGCGGTCGGCGGTCGGCGCCCGAAGTCTTGTGTCGTTGTTGTATTTTGAAATTGGACGACTTGTCTGGGCGAAGTGGCCACGCTTGTCGGCGACACAGTGTCTTTTCTAACAAGAGAGCTAAAAATACACTTGGGTCTTGGCGCCTTCGTGTTGGTCGACCCCGAATCGCAGGCCCAACGTTGACGAACCCCTGCCATCGGTGGTCAGTGCGACCGACCAAGCTGCCAAGAATTCGAGGGATAGCAAGGCCTTGATGCGTCGACGCCAGTTGGATGGATGGTTCGATCGAAGAACCTTTGTCCTTGCACCTACCAGTCGCTATAAAGACACGAGAAGGCAGATCCCAGAGATCACTGTGGCGCGCGACACCAGTGTTGAATGTGGTTTGCGAGAATTGGCGCCACCGGATACCGATCCGTTTTACCCGCTAACCTCAACACAGGCCCGTTCCACCCCGGGCGTGGAGGTTCGACACCAAGGACCTGATGCTGCATCATCACTACCGTTCCTTCTGTATCTGCTTGACAACATACACAGTCTTGGGCTACGTTCTCAGCACACTGCGTGTAATTCGTGCTCACCCGAGTACCTTCTCTCAACGACGGGGACAACAAACGTGAGCGGTTTCTCATTATAATCTATTTGTACACGGGTCGTTTTCATACGTGGTTGGTTTTGCAGTGCACCTTGTGTCTGGTCACATTTCTTTTCTCCTCCAGTACTCCATTCAGCGCTCGACGACTTGCCACCATGACATGCGCCAAGGTCATCCATCATACGTCAACGACTGCCGACAGCTACCGCGTGCGCCGCAATCGCTTGGGCTCGTTCATTTGCATTGCCTCGATGCTCAACGTCTCGTCCATGGTACATTAGTCTGTGTATTTACGTTGGGATGAATCAACTAACGAAAATTGTGCCTGGTGTAGCCACTCGCAGCGTACATTTCCGAGTACCTGCCGTGGCGCGGCGCGTTCACACCGCCAGAAACCCATGCCAACTACACGTCCTTCAGCGCTGCAACACTTGCGCTCCACCAAGAGCGCTACTCCAACGCCACGCTACCGGCGGGGACCACGTTTCTCGTGGACGACAATTACAACACCCAAGTTGTTCGCGCTCTTGTGCCCGTGCATGCACAGCCTCTGCGCTTTGGGGACTGCTTTGCCACGTCGATTTTGGGCCTACCCGGGCTTTCTTTCTATTCGGATAGCCTCAACAACTTTGTCTGCAACGTCCTCGACAACCCGACGACACTTGTCGCCAACGGCTCGTGCTTCCACCTCAACATGCTTTCGCGTCCGTACGACCGAGCGTGCCTCTGGTTCGTGCCTGGCGACGGCATCTCGAGCCATCCTAACAAGGCGGATAAGGTTGTCACGCTCTACTTTGTCAAGACGGAGCTTCGAACCCCGGCATTCGCGTGGTTTTTGTTTGTCTATCGCCTTGGGACAACGCTCTTTGTGTGGTACCGTCTCTACGTCCACTACTACCGCCACTGCTTGGAGCTCGAGGCGCGGCTTCGCCGGTTCGGCCACCGACTCAAGATGCCAGCGGGCGACTGGTCGTACGAGATTGTGCTGGGCGATCCGACGGCCATTGTGCTCATGGACGCATGGGTTGCATCGCTCTACTACCTCGATACGTGGTTTGGCTGCACCAACATTGGAACCGCAACCTTGCAGATGCAGGACAGTGGCGACGCGTTGCTCATGCTGCGAGGTGTCATGTACCTGGCGCGCACAGTACTTCGTAGCCTCTTTTTTCCATCTGATGATCGTGTTTGTAGGTGTGGTTTGCGTACTGGGGTCTCTGCCTCGTTTCGTATGCGCTCAAGCGCTGGAAGAAACAACATGCTTTCAAGGAAGTCGACCCGACGGTTGTGGCCATCGTCGTGACCATCAATGGGCCTGCCTTTACGTTCATGACGGGCCACGTTGTGATCTTTGCTCGCTTTTACCAATGGATGTTCAACTGCCTCATCCCAAGAGCGTTCCAAGGCCAAGAGGTTGAGGTCGGCCTCGTGTCCATCATATTTACCGTACTCACGATCCACATGCCGGTGGCCTATGGTTTGGTGGCGGGTATGTGAAGGGCTTTATGACTGCAGAACGAAGTGTTGCATGGAGGACTCGTGCTGTATGTCGTGTAGGACGACGCAATGGCGAGGCAAACGCCCCCCAAGTAGACTGCAGTTCATTTCGCTTCAACAGCATCAAGAGCGCGGCCATATTTCGCGTCGCCAACGCCCTTCGCATCACCCCCAAGCTCCCTGCACGCGGTGGTACCCTATACCGAGCCATGGACTTGAACCCGCGGCTCAAGCGTTGTCCGACGATCAGTCTACGGGGCACCGACTGCTTCGTGATTTGCTACTGCAACGGCGAGCTCATCGAGCGGCTGCGCATGAGTCTTCTCTCGGGCATCGACACGGCGCACGCGGTGATTCCAC